ATGGTTGGCCACTCCTATTGATAGTGCATTTTCAGATAATCTGTCTCTGTGCTTTACAGGCATTACCCTGTAACCAATCCTATTATTAGCCATATTGCAAACCACTTTCTTACCTAGTCATATCATCTGCAAAGCAAACCCCTCCATCTCTGATAGGACCATCCTTGCCGACTCATTCTCCTAGAAATTATAGTTATAAAGCACTAACTTGCTTTCCCAATTACGTTATGGTGAAAAACATCCTCTCTGCCTGAATTATAGGCAAGGTGTTTTTCAAGTAAATTAAGTTCTTGAGTACATTTACGTACCTTTACGTAGTGTGAAGTTCAGGACTGAGACATGAGAGACCAAGGTTCACATCCTGCATCCTGCATGTGGTTCAGTTTAGGCAACAAAAGTATTTTGAAAGTTTGTGGCTTTGCTCCATGTAAAATCATAATAAATACATTGTGTCTTGTGCACTGCACATTTTTTTTCTGTATTAAACCAAGACCAGGATCAAATTCTGCAAAATATTTTGCTGGAAAGCAAATATGTTGTCAAGAAACATTTTACTGATGTGTTCAATATTTTGCATCTTGCCAGAAAATTAACACTCAGATATACAGAGCAGACAAGGTTGACCCTTACAGTATTGGTTTGTCTTAGCTGATGTATGATAGCACAGTAGAAGTCACTTCGAAGGGCAGCTAATAAGAGCGCTAATCAACTTCACTTGTCTTGTGTTGTTGTGACCCCTGAAAGAATTGTGGGGATTATACCATGTTGTTCAGTGCACATCCCCAGGGGAAACTCATGCTGCCTGATCTTCCCACAAAGACCCCCTCCACATCCAAGCCTCCCATAACCTTCAACCTCTGACCTTGCTCGGCGGCCTGCAGAAGAGTGGAAGTCATATCACACTCCTTTAGATAAGCATCTTGCCTTCAGACCCTCAACTCCGTGGGTCTAGCCTAACAAAGTCTGAGCGGTATGAGAATGTTTTACCATCAGAGAAAGAGTTTTTCTCTTGCAAGACTTAAAACAAACCACTAATCCATCTGCAAGTGTGGGAGGAAATTGGATTTTCACCTAACAGCTGAGCTTGTTTCCACACAAAGGAGTGCTAAATCATCATATGAGAAAATTCACCACTGAGTTTCATTTCTCATTACTTTCGTTACTCAGCCCAGTTCTCTCGTTAGACAACTTCCTAGCCTCCCCACCCACACAGTGTTTCTCAAATGGCCATACGTGGGTACTTTGGAGTACGGCACAGGGTGAGCTTTCTCTCAAAAGATAACCTACAGTATAGTCAAGGTGATGTTCTGGTCCCTCCACTCTCAGTTAAAACTATGTCTCCACTATCTCAAGTTACAACTTGTCTTTTCACGGGCAGTGGCCTTCTGTGTATTCCTCTCTCTCCCTCCACCCTCCTGACTGCGTTTAGCCTTCAGGTCTGTGTTGCCTGACTCCACAATACTAATGGATATGGACATCTGGTAGCTATACAGATTTGTAAGCACTGATAACGCTTGTGCTTTGGTAAAAAGATTACATTAGAAATAAAGAGCACATGATTGGGTTAGAGTGAGGAATAACGTATGATGATGAAACCCATACACAGTGGGCTGTGAGCAGCCATGCCTGGAATCACAGCAAATTCACATTCATCATGAGGTATACTGTGTTAGTTATCTAAAGGATGTTTTAGTATTGGAGTACTGGCTCCTTATATCTTGATCTTGGATGAATCATCTGTCCATCCACCACACTTCTCTGTCAGACCACAAGTTGAATCAAGCTGCATTATTATCCTAAATGGAAGATGTTTTTTAGAGTACTGGAAGAATACAGAAGTACATGTGGGGTCAACTTCTGATATTCAAATAGGTTTGTCTGTCTATGGTATTTTCCCTGGTTCATATAAAGAGATTTTCTAATGTTGCATCAACTCACACCACATGTTGTAATTGCTCTATGTCCGCCGCCGAAATGTACGCACTGAAAAAGTCCATAATAATTACTCAATAGCAGGAGTAATTCGTTTAAATTTCTCATTACTTTTGTTACTCAGCCCAGCTCTCTCGTTAGACAACATCCTAGCCTCCCCACCCACACAGTGTTTCTCAAACGGTTGTATGTGTACGCCTAGAGGTACTTTGGAGTACTGCACAAGTTATGTGACATTTGTTAATAATGTCAATTTTTGATGATGAAAATCAAGAAAATGGATCAGTGATTGAAATGTAGCAGCAATACAGCTGAAAAACACAGAGAAGGAAGTGAAAAAGACAGAGAAACCGGCCAAAATATACCTTCAGTATCAGGAAGAATACGTTACAATGGAATCTACCTCAGCGAGTGGCAACCCCCCCACAGACATGGTGCTTTTTATATAGCCTATATAGCCAAAAATGTTTTACACTGGTCTGGGGGTATTTGGATTAAAAAATATTTCAAAGTGGGTACGTTAAAGAAAAAAGTTTGAGAAACCACTAGTTTGACAAACAGTTAGTTACTGCTTGCACTTATTAACTGACCATCAACATCTAGCTTTGTGAATACAAGCAGCAGAACTTCAGGACAGTGAAGCAGTGCAATTCATCATTCCTGAATGTATAAAACAATTTTCTCTCTTTTTTTCATAGAGACTGACTGCCTTCCAACACCTTTAGCCTCAGCACCAAGTCTCTCCATTAAATGCACGGCAATGAACCCTCCAATAAACTCTGTAAATAACTGAACAAGGTAATCCCCAAACAGGAGTAACGGATCATTGCTGGGATTAGTAACTGTAGTGTAGCTAATTACACAATGTAAAATTGTAATCCTTTACAATACTAAGTAATGCTTTACTGCCCAACATTGGTACCCACACTTAATTTATACAGAACCCCCACTGTCTGTTGGTTTTGTCCTTATATTCAAACAAGATGGCCATGTCCTCAATGATGTTGACAGGAAAGAGAAGTGGCAGTATTAATGTGCAACAGAGAGCAAAATGGGAAAAAAAGGAATATCGACCTGCAGATGGCTGTGAAGGCGGACAATATGGTCTTTCTGTTTTGCAGCAAAGTTTTATTAATATCACAGCACAGTCAGTAAAGACTACAATATGTAAAATGCTACGCCAATTATGTTAAAACAAGTTCACTTCAGTTGATCTTTTTAACGGCAGCCAAGTGAGAAATCAGATTGTGCAACTGTATAAACAGAAAACTGACATGCATCTACTTGTCAAACAGCGAGGTTTTTGATCATTCAAACAATTCGTTATCACAACCCTCATTAAAAGGAAGCCAACTTGCTGGAAATGTATCCCGATTTTACAATCTGGTCATGGGAGACATAATGGGGTTTTAAATAAGGTTTTATCTGTTCAGTGTCTGCCCATCCCAAGCAACCAACTTTCATTAATATCTACACAATCAGGACTTTTAAAGCCTTTAAATAACAGAAATCCTCCAGTGTGACTTAAGATTAAACCTCAAGGCGATACACACAAATACTCAAAACAGGACAAAAACAAAAGAAATAGTCATAATAATTATGTAGGACAAATCTTTTATAGTTTCAATGTCTGTTTTACTCATTATTAGCTCTTTCAAGTAGCCCCATGGGCTAAACTGAAAGCTCTCGTGGGCCAAATGGGATCATGGGAGAGGCACAAAAGACTCCCTTTAGCTTGAGACTCGCTCTGTCTTCACCACTGTGATAACAACATCCTTCAAAACGCTGCCCTAACAGACTGCATGGCTGATCAACAGAATCCTTTTATTGTCATATCACAAAAGCGTTGATTTAATCTGTGAGGCATCAGGTCATTGGAATGAGCAGTGACTAGAGTCATAAGGAATTTGTGATTTGGAGTGTGATACCCACAGGGTGCAATGATATAAAAGAAATTCACAACCCGTTCGGAGATATGACCTCCTTCTAAACCCTCAACATAGAAAGAGTGTGGTCTTTGTATCGGTGGAAGGGATGAGTCCCTGAAGACAATGAGACCAGCTTCGCTGTGGCATTTAGGTTGATGGGCCAACAATGTCTACAATGTCGCACTGAGATGGTCTGATTATGTGGCTGACAATGTGGATGTCCAGTACATCGTACTGTCCATACAGTGCTGGGCAGTGAATGTGCTCACATGAAGTCTATTCAGCACATCCTAACCCCGGGCCATGCACCCCATCATTCAACTTTACTGTCTCTTCACAGAAGTTCATGATAAACTTGCCCAGTGTTTAGATAGGCTTATCCCACAGCCATTTGCTAAATCGCTGATAAATCACTTACAAGTGAGTTCGTTGTCTTGGTGAAAAAAAAGACTTTAGGGAATATCACTTTTTAACCTTTTCAGTGTAAAACGATCTCATGAATTATCTCTCTGCATGAAGTTGAGTGTTTTAACTTAATAGCCCATTTTTTAAGTGTCAGTTCATCCAAATTGCAAAAATAACAAGACAGCAATAAGAGAGATATCCATCAATTTCTCCTTAATACCACATTATAGTGGAGGTTAATTAAATTTAATATAGCATTAAATCATGACATCTGTAAAACTCAATGGAAACATCAGAATGAATGTTCTAGCTACTTCAGAAAATCCAGAGAAAACCATGTGAGAGGAGTTTGTCAGTTATATTGCATCTTTGTATTATGTTCCATGTTGAGGTATAAATGGCAGCCAATGCATGTGAGAAACAGCAAACTCTTAAGTTCAAAGAAACAGTTCGACACTTATTAACTTTCTTGCCTAGAGTTAGACGAGAAGATCGATACCACTCTACAGCCAGCAGCTGCTCAGCTTAGCTTAGCATAGCTTAGCATAAAGACTGGAAACAGAGGGAAACAGCTAGCCTAGCTCTGTTTAAAGGACTTAAAAAAATCCACCTACTAACATTTCTAAAGCTCCACGTGAAGGGCCGCAAATAGCCTAAAATTGTAATCTACAAGGTCCACACAAGTACACTATGATGCATGCTTCACTACAAACCTCTGTGAGCTAAAAGTCTTACCTTCACAAATGGTATCAGTGAAAGAAGTGCAGGGATGTAAAATTTCCACCCCCTCATCACAGGTGGTGCAGGGGATGCAGGGCTCCCGAGAACTTTCCTGGTCCGAGTAAGTGTCCCCGTTGCACTCCTCACACACTGTGTCATGGTCAAACTCACAGCTGTACAGCATGCCCTGGCCTTCAGGACATTTGGTGCAGGGTTCACACTGCTGTGAGAGTTCATTCATATAGTAGCCATAGTTGCACACACAGGTGGCGTCGTTGGAGTCTGTGCAGGGCGCCTTCATGCGGAGCAGACCTGTGCAGGCTGTGCAGGGCTGACATTTCTCTGTGTGACTGAAGTTTTCTGAGAAGGTTTCACCTGAAAAGAAAGGGCAGAAATGAACTTTTTATCTGCTCTTTAGAAGCATTTACAATACTGATTGGACCTTTAATTTGACCTTTAAATATGAAAAATGGCTGTGTCAAATTGTTCTCATGGCATTTTTTTTTTAAATAGAGAAAATAGAAAAGAGCAGTGAAAATAGCATGCAGCTGACCCAGTCCTACGGGGTGGTGGGCAGTGGCTGCATGTATTACTGTTTGCCAAAGGGCCAACTAAGGTCTGAGTTTTCCAATTCTACACATACTGGCTTTTAAATTTTTTTTTCCTTGATTATAGATCTGGAAATATTTTCTCATGCTTATCTTATCCTCTTCATTTTTGTAATTATCTTTCTCTCTCCCCTAACTCTCTGTGTACTCTCTCGACTGTCCACTTTCAAAGGCCTAAAATATACATTTAAAACTGCAACTCGCCACTCTAGTATACTCTACTTTTAATCTATCTGCTCAAGTCAGAATCAAATATGTTAGTTTGACATTTTCAGGTCCATGCCTTGACTTAAGTATGCAGTGAACAAAAATGTTCTGTATTTATGAATAATATTTTCATTATATCACTTGATTATATCAGATGTTTTCGAATCCATTAAATGTGTGTCACAAAGTGGGATTGTGAACATCTTGAGAAGGGCTTTTGTTCTGTGAATGAATTTGGGTCCAAGTCACACTAACATGGGAATTCAGTTTTAGGGTAATTTTCCCTGGTGGGCATGTGGTCACTTTGAAAAAGAAAAGACTAAAGAAATATTTTTTAAAGGAGTTTTTAGTTGTTGAACTTACATACATCACATATACATAGAGAATATACATTTTCATAAATGTTTTGTAAACCTGAAAGATTTGCTAGGACAGATTTATCTGCAAAGGACGCAATCAATATTGCATGTTTTATGGAATTGTATTTCGGCTGGATAGAGAACTGGGAAACACACTAAATTATGCAACAGACCTATTTGTAAGAGCAGCTTGTGTGTGTGCGTGAAAGAGAGAGGGAGAGAGGGAGGTGGGGGGGGGGGGTAGACTATGAAAGTAAACCTCAAGATGTCCATCACACAGTATGTGTAAACTGTTGACAAGCATATTCAACAAACGTTTTATTTATTTTGAGTTGAGCCAATGTGAAGAAGAGCTGAAACAATTAGTCAATTAATTAGTTAATCGACAGAAAAGACATCTAGGTTAATAATTGCTTAATCCTTTTAGTCCTTTTTAAAGCAAAAATGGCCAATATTCTGTTGTTCCAACTTCTCACTTGTGAGTCTTTTCTGCTTTCTATACAATCAGCAGATTCATCAACGATGAAACTTGGTTGTTTTGTATTACTAACAGTCCAAAGCCTAAAGATATTAAATATATTATCGTAGAAGACGAAGAAATCCAGCAAATATTCACATTTTAGAAGCTGGTACCACAGAATGTTTGGGATTTTTGTTTAAAAACTGTTGCATATTCATCATTTATGAACTAAACTGTGTGTGGTAGGAGACAGGAGGGGGGTTGTAGAGCCTTTCCAGCTTGATCTCTGATATCATATCAAGTTTTCGGTCTGCGTCACTGGCCCACCAACCACGATGAACGCTCTGATGATGCAGAGATTAAAACAGAGATGAGGAGAGATAGACGCTGAGACAGAGAGACAAATGGAGCGACGCAAGAAAGCGGAGACTGTGTCATTTGAGATGAATCCTGGTGTGCAATTCTGTCCTAAATTGTCGGTGTCAGATGTGGGTTCTTCACATTTTTGTTTAATTATATCTTTAGGAAGTGGACAAACTATCGTCCGTCCCTCGTATGTGGGCCTGTTGGTGTCGAGTCATACGCTGTTACCCCCCACCCTCGCCCCATTATCTCCACCAACACCCTCCCTCTTTTCCAACAGACACACACACTCAGACCCCTCAACCGCCCCTCCTCCCCACGAGTGCTCTCAGAACCATTATCATAATGCCATGCATCAATAATGCAAGTCAATACATTAATAAAGCTAGCCTGCAGCATGGATGGGGGAGGTGGGTGAAGGAGGGGGAGATGATGGAGGGAGGAGGGGGGTACAGACGGTCTTTTCCTGGCTCAGCATATCATATCATAACAGTACTTTCGCCTCTAGTCTAACATTCAATCCTTTGCTTTGTTTTCAACACCCATAAAAGGGCTCCTGACTTTATCCGCTCAGTGTTTGTGTGTGTGTGTGTGTGTGTGTGTGTGTGTGTGTGTGTGTGTGTGTGTGTGTGTGTGTGTGTGTGTGTGTGTGTGTGTGTGTGTGTGTGTGTGTGTGTGTGTGTGTGTGTGTGTGTGTGTGAACCATTAGCTTCTGGCTGAGAAGTTAGCCTTGTCTCCATTCCAGCTGTACAGCTGTACTTGCCCTGTTTCATCTCCACTCAACTGTTCATTCATCCCAACTCCTCCGTGTGTTTCAGCTGGACGTTCTCTTTAGCACATCAGCCAGCCCCTGTTAACTATCTGTACTAAATGAAGCCTGAACGCTTTTTTGGAAACCACCGTCTGTCTCTTATAAATGGATGCTTGTGCACATTAGATGCCATTAACTGTGGGGGACAGGCCTGAAACAACACAAGCAAAGACATATGGTGGGTGGGAGTTGATGTCGAAAGAATATAAGGAAGAAAGATTGTGTTTGAGAAAGAAAGCGTTTCAATCAGTTTTTGTTAACACCTTGGAGAGGAAGTTCATACTCTCATAATTCTCGAAAACTTCAATAACTGTTCCATAAGGCCTCAAAGTTAGTCAGTGACGCCTGTCAAGTTTTCCATTCTTGAACAGCACATTTACAATGATAAGAGTTGCAGATTTATCACTTGAAGTTTGCAGTAATTACTGAAGCAAAGGATCTTCGATTTTACACAGAAATAAACAAAATCAAGTTTCTTATTCCAAGCTTATGAGCGTCAATTTTTTCAGCTAAAATTATGACTGTCTAGCAGATTTTATCAGTTAAAACTCAGTCACTTGGTTGAAAACTCTGCCTCCAGCTATCTTTTTAATGTTTCCATATAATTTGTATTAAAATTAGAGTCCTATAAAAGTATTTAATATGCACTTGATGGTTGCGTACGCTATAATATGCTAAAAGAGTAGCTAGCTGCATGTTCCTGGCCAAAAAAAATCATCCTCACCATATATGATCCATGTAGAAGATCTGGTCAATAAAGAAATCTTTTTGAATCGCAATGTTGAGCTTGTATTATACTGTAAGCACGATTTCCCTTAACTTGACCTTGTTTAGCCGCTTAGCTTACATGAACAAGCAAGACAAGACAGGATAGATTTCAGGCTTTTTTTTTTTTTTTTTTCCAGACTATCACGCTTACTACAGCCCCCTGCGCACCACTTAAATGTGGAGAAATGCAAAGCTCTGATTGGACAATCACTGTTTCAGGACAGGTTTTAATGAATCAACAGGTAGGAGACTAAACAACCCACTGATGGATGAGACTTTAAAACAAGTTGAAATGCTTCTGCACACGCACACTCCAGCTCTATCAGCCTCCATTAGCGATCTAATCAATATGTTAGATGTGTTCTTAAAATATCATTGTGATGTTATCTGATGGAGAGCTATCTGCTTTGCATGTCTCTTTTTCCATGAGTCAGTACAGAGGCTGTCTGGCCTCATGACAGTTTTGAGAGCCTGTCACTATCTGTGTTTGTTCACGTCTGAGCAGAACAAGCACTGTTAGACTGGAAATTATCACCCTGAAGACCTACACGTTGTGCAACCGAAAACCGCAACAAGAGAAGCAACTGATGTCATTTATTATAATAATTTCCGGTCTAGAATATGAAGTTTTTATATAAAATAGAACAAATATTTAAATGACCAGCAGTCCAGGACTGAATGTTTTTGTATAAGGCACAAATATATTGTCAAGATGTAACTCTTGATCTGAGACGCACTTATAAAAGCATACATCACTCAGAAAAGAAGCCCCACAAAAATACAAATAAATCTCAATTTCCCCATTTTTGTGGCTTCTCTCATGACCTTTAGCCTTAAACATTTTCTGACTGTGGAGATCTTTGGCTCATAGTTTGCCATCCTTCACAGACCCAGGAAGGTTTACAGCTACTTCCTAGCCGGGACGCTGGGTAGTCTTGGAATTTATACAAGGAAAACTCTGGGAACAGTGTAGGAACTGGCTGTGGACCAACCCTCAAGCTGACCTTTGACCTCACATGGGAGAGTTACAAAAAAACTTTAATGTGTTCAATTTGTTTTCCCAACACTCAGGCAGAAATGTACCTCCTACAGAGGACCTTAAATATCCTTTTGAGCCCTTCAGTCATCAGCCATGTTTACAAAATCAAAATCTACACTGCTTACCATCTTAATCACTGTGACATAACAACTAGTCTGATGCTCTAAATATCTTCCACTGCAGTTTTCTGTCTGCAACAACACTTGGAACTGGCCCCACTCTCGTATCCTCTCAACATCACTGTCCTCATAAAGTCTTACAGTCCAACACAACTTCTCTCCCTACATGGTAAGGGCCGCGAGGAGGGCAGTAACGCTGGAACACAGTTCTGGCATCTAGTTTATTTTCCAGCTGAATCCGTCTTAAGCTTTACATTTAGGCTACAATCTGTATCATATTTGAGGAGTTTGTCAGTTACTGACAAGAGTAACAGATATTCGATAATGATCATAATGGGCTTAAATTGCTTCAAATGCACTGCTGGGTACACATGGTTCATTGACCTTTCCTCCAAATGAGGTCTATTATGTTGAGTAATCTAAAAACTGTAGGGAGATGGATATGGCAATCAGACAGTCTGACAGTTCACCACTTTGGTCCAAACTGAAATATTGTCACAATTATTAGACAGTCATTGTTCTCAGATGATTTATCCTTATGACTTTGGTGATCCCTGACTTTCCCTCTCGAGCCACTGTGAGGTTGATGGTTTTGGTTCAGAATAAACTATTTCTGCAGCTTTTGGATGGATTGGCATAAAATTCAGTAAACACATATGTGTCCCCCTCTAGACAAACTGAAACTCAGCTCAGCTCAACTGTAATTTGTTTAGCATTAATTCCCAAATATAATGCACCCAAAGTAAGATTGAGTAAATGTTACCTTCTGAACATCAGTATGTTAGCATTGTCACTGTGAGTATGTTAGCATGCTGATTCGCATTTACCTTAACACATTGCTCTGTCTAACTACAGCCTCAAAGAAATGCTAGCCTGACTGTCTGTCTTATTTATGTTACTGATTTAAAAGTCAGACTTATTGCATTAAACATTCAATTCTGTTGCCAAAAAAGGTCTAAGAGTGGTATCAATAAAGAGCTACAACCACTACTAGTTGACAATAAAAAAGGCTTTAGCAACTTGATAAAACTATTAATGTCATATAAAACAAGATTGTCTGCCAAAAACTACAGAAACAAACATTGTGCAGATTTATTTTTGGTTTTATAGGCCAGCAAATGGATTTTTTTGGATCCTAGTTCGAACTTTGCGGAAACATTGTTGAAATTTATGATCCTGCATACTTAGGGTGACTCAAATAGTAAAAAAAAGAAAAGAAAACTGCTGTTTGAATCATATGTCTTCTCCAGGGACAGTAAGTACAGTGCAGTGTTTGTATGAGGAGGACATAACTTACGAAGAGGCTGTCACAGTGGCAGCAATTTCATGTTTTTTTGACATGATGTATGTATGTGTCACTATTTCTGCACCAGGCATGTTCAAGTGCACACATGTGCTTTTGTGTACTTCTGCATAATAGTCTTTGCACTCGTATTCACATTATAAATCCTGTGTGCACGTACGGGACTTTGATACAGCTGTTGTTTGTGTTACTTACTGTCAAGGCAGGGGGCACAGACAGTCTGTGAGACTCCACATGGTCTCTCAACACCCTCACCAGGCTGGCACTGCTCGCAGCACTCTCCGCTGGCTGTATACTGGCCTGACAAACAATCCTCGTTACTGGCCAGCGCCCCGACCTGCCGATCATCAGAGAGAACATTCAAAATGGGACATGGAAAGTACCATTCAGCAGGTTAACAATACAATAACACAAAAAGAACTAAACATTATTTATTGTATCAAAGTAATGTGTGTTTTTCCCTTTATTTTCCTTTATCTTCATCTTTCCCAGAATTGCAGTATTTCACAAGAAAAAGCAAAAGAGAAACAGAAAGAAAACAATACTGAGTTGTTTTTCTTATTCCTTTGATCATCTTGCATCCTCTTAGATTTTTTTTGGACTAACCACTAAACCAGGGGTTCCCAGCCTAGGAGTCACGACCCCGCAACAGACTGCAGGATAAATCTAAAGGCTTCTTCAATGATTGATGGGATGGGAAAGAAGAAAAAGTAGATTTCAGCTCAACAAAATTGTCCATTGTTATAGGCTGTTTCTCTGTTTTCTATGTTCTTGTGAAACACAGAAAGTTTAGAAACCACTGGTCTTACTTGAACTCTTACCTGACCCTATACATATGTAAGACTCACTTTAGCCTTAAACCTAACCTTAACCTTTGTACCAGCCACATCTAAAGTCACATATACAGTAATAAAAGTAAACAAAATCACACACTCAGACCAGGAAAAGCTGGATTATGTCTTATTGGCATTCTTCAAACCGTAACCTATTGAGAGCTCTATTTTTCAGCCGATGACAGGTGAAGATGTTTGTTAATGCATGAGTGCGCACACACTTGCACACTCACGCCCAGGCCTGGATGTTTCTCAGAGTCTGTGTTTACGTGAGACCTTTCGGTTTGAGTCATCTTTTACACTAAATCAAAATAAACTTTTTATCTTCTGCACACCTTGATCTCCAAAGCAAACCTTGATAAAAGCAACGATTGCCCTCTGACACCGAACCAGAGGAGAGGTCTGTCTTTCATTCTCTCCAGATACATGAGGAGTGATTGTTTTTAGGCTATCATTTAAAATAATCTTCTGTTGGCAGACAAGTCACAGAGGGCAAAAGAAAGCGACATCTTAGACTTGTTTTGATCCCATAATTTATAAAAAAGTATCATCGGTGAGATGTAAAAGTATATTACAGCTTCCTTCCACAAACGCATGAGCAACGTGAGTCATTTTACTCATCTGAATATTGCTCCAGGCTCATTTTTGCCTGGTGAATGTTGAGTAAGGATTAGCCATACACTACACAATTAACACAGTTTGTGGGTGTGTACGTGCATGCATGCGTGTGTACATTAAGGGGCGCATTAGTTTGAAGGAGGTACACTCAACATAAATCGTCAGGGTTCAGGTGTGCGTGGAATGCTGCTGATAAGAGAAAGGAGCTCTAAAAAAACACCAAGTGTCCCCTCGGGCACCTCTGAGTCAGCTGGCAGATAATCACACACACACACACACACACACACACACACACACACACACACACACACACACACACACACCTCCCTCTTGCCCTTGATGGTGTCACGGCCCATTCACCTTCAGGTCTCTGGTATTCAGTTATCCATGATGTCCATGTTCAAGAATGTATTGTCAGTTTTGAGGGGAAACATTTGACTTGAAATGTTTCATATGACATCCCTGATAATATCTAAACATTTAGAAATTTCCTGAAACTTTCCTGTTTTTACAACTGGGAGAGTTTTCAGAGACAACAAAAACAAGTTGGTCAACTCAAGCTGATAAATAGCTCAAAAAGAGGTAGATTTTTATGTTTCACAATGTACAGAACCCATTGAATATGCACAAAAAGGGTTTTCGTATCAATATGTTTCTTGAAAAGTTGCCATTTGAGAAGTGACACTCATTGTGCAGCAATTAATGTTTCACTGTTTGTCTTGAGGACTTCCCAGACATTTCTGTCATTGTTTCGCCGCAGCTCTCAACCTCACACACACCTTAGGCAACAAGCACTCAATTCAAAAATATAGAAATCTGTCACCACACACACACTCATCCCTCTCCTGCGTCTGAACTGCCCCTATATATAGTGTACACACCCACTGACATGCATGCATTTGCGCACATGCATAAACAACCTCACATGTGAACAAACCTGCTCCAAAATGTCTGACTGACACTTTTGAAATGACTCCAAGCGTTCCAGCGTTTATCTTGTACTTTTTCCTTTGACCCTATTCTAGCTCCGGGTGTGGGTGCAACACCAAAACATCTCAGAGACCGAAAACTGAGATTCAAGTGCATCCCTAATGACTGCTAAATTGTGCATGCAGATGAATTAATGGGTAATGTGATTTGAGGAAATAGCTTGTGGAATGAAAGAAAAGGATGCACAGCACTTAGCAAGTTGTAGCTCGACTTGCACGTTTCCTGTAATTGCGTTTGAGATTGCACTCTTCAACTTTTGTCAGCCGATCTCCCTCAAGCTAAAGCAAGAAGCAAGTTGATCACACACTCAGCAGCAACAAGCGCACACAAATGCATGCGCAGAAGGCATCTGGACACATAACTTCGGAGCTCCAACCAATCTTACTAATGCTCCAGTCAATTTTCAGTTAGAGGCACTTAACCTCTGGACCTCAGCTGTCAACTCCACTATACCAGCCCTCCAATAAACTGGCCCTAATTTAAATCCAGGCATGAACTGCTGTGGGAACACTTGTGGCAAAGACATTACAGCTAATGCCTTCCCAAACAATGCTGAATCATCATCTGCTTATGAGGAGATAGACAAACAGAGAAGAAGAAGCAGAAGAAGAAGAGAGGGATGAGAGTGTGAGGTGGAAGGAGGAGAGGAACAGTGTGGAGGGGGATGGTTTGGGCTGTATCAATATTGCATGCGCTGAGCCAGCAGAGGATGCATACCCATCAGTGGGAGCAGCTGTCATGTATCAGTGATGCAGCCCTGTTTCTAAACCAGGACCTTGACAAGCTGGCGTCACTGAATGACCATGTCCTGTCAGAGAGAAGAAGACACTAGAAAATATATTTCCTTCCTGTGCTTGCACGGCCTCGAGGGAATTAGAGATAAATCAGGGTGACTGTGAGCTGTGGCTCCCCAGAGTTACCATGTATCCTCTCAAGATTTCAGGTGTTTCTTCTAATGGAGAAAAAATCTGTAAAATCACCAAATCCCTCATCATTTAACGCACACAGTTTATTGGTGAGCTCCTCCACAGAGACCACTGCGACATTGGTATTGTCCTGCAGTCTGTAGGGCCACATGTAACTGAGAAGGGTGGAACTACAGATCCGGCAACTGGAGCTATAATGTGTCAACCTGAAAGGCTGCTGCATACATCCGCTCTGCTTCATATTGTCAGCCCATGGACTGAAGACAGGGCAGGTGCAAGGACACGGACTATAAAAGAGATTAAAGAGATCAAACTCGTGAAAATGTAAGTGTGTATAAGTTAAAAGGATGATGCGGGGAAAAGCCTGTAACTTTACGCAGATTGTTTGCCAAGTTTCCTGCTAAAACATATGACGGTTGCTAAAGGCTGGAAGGAGGAACAAGTTTCTCACAAACTCCCACCACTTAATATCTACCCCATGATTTGGCTGCGTGGATGCGCATTTGCGCAGGTGTTATCTAGGTTACGTTAATGGCAAACATGTAAAGCACTCTGCTTATGTAAGAGGCTACTCACCACTCCAAGTAACACTGCTATAAAAGCGGAATTCATCCTGTATGTCCTTTGTATCTTCCCAGAAGGGTCAGTTAGGATCGGATGCAGCGCAGCAGGATGCGGGTCTCAGTGACTTCGAAGTGAAATAAACTCGGCTGTCATCGCTGCGTCCGTGCGCTTCTTCTGAGTTTACTTCTAGGAAAAGAACTCTCCAAGAAAACTCTTCGCTGTCAAGTATGTGTAGCAGCGGGAAATGACTCAGTCCAGAAGCTCTGGCTGCAGACAGAATCCAACCAGTGAGTAAACTCGCTGAGATTGACCCATTGGATGTTCGGCTCTGTGCGCTTTTCTCCTACTGGGCTCATATGTCAGACGCGCTCAGCTCAACGGCTTCAGGGAAAGAGCCATCTCTCTCTCCACGCCCACACACACACACACACACACACACACACACACACACACACACACGAACCTGCTCTCTCTTCATGCTCTGGGACCTTCTTGCTGAGTCGGACAAACCAACCACCTTAATGTTTTATCATCTGACAAATGAAGTCTTGTGTAAATCGTCCATTTAACATGTGGTTTACAGACCAGTGCCAACTGCATTAAAGTCTCACTGCAACCAAGAAACATTTGAATTTAATATAATGCAACCCTGCAGCCACATCTCTCAGGACCGACTGTGTGAATGCACCTTTAACCCAGATACATGAGATCCAAACAGGTATAACATCCACTTATATTTGCAGCAGCATACATGCAACAACTAAATGAGACACTAATATTTGTTCCTTGTCCACCCCATGTTAAATATTATTTATCCGTGGGAGTTAAGTGTAATCACAGGATAAAACTGCTGCCTTTAAGAAGAAGCAACCTACAGTTGGATAAGGCTGACACCTGAGGCCAAATGTTGGCCTGATATAAACTGGGGAGCACGTCATGTTCTACTTCAGATCATGACTATACATGTCATCCTGTTCAATGCAAAAACAGCAGGTTAATTTAAAGGATTGACAAAGTGGTTTGTGAAGTTTGTGCACTGTCTTTGCAAACTAAATTTCCCTGCAGCAAAATAAATGATCTTGTACCTCTCTATCACTTTCTTTTAATGGAGTTCACTGTAATCGTTGTGGTAGACCTCAAACACAAGTGCACTGAACTAGTTGGTGCTCAAACAGAATGATTCCTGACACGATAATGTAAAGTCCATTATGGAGATTATAACTTCATTTGGTGTAAGTCTGAGTTGCTATAAATATAGATAACACTTGCCACCATGTAACTACCAGTGAATCTCAAACATGGTTTTTATTTCTCTGATTTCTACAGTTAAAACTTGTTTTACGTGTTTTTAAGATTAAAGAATGACGTTTCTACATGTGCCATCTTGATGAGACAGTGATTTATAGACCACTAGGGACTGGGGGCAGTGGGGGACACTTATGCTGAGAGAGAGGAGGCTGGGTTGCTATGGGTGGATAAATAATGCATGGATGCAAAGAGAGAAATAGACAGAAAGAAAATCCATTTCAGAGTCACTTATATAGGCCAAAATAGATTATTTTAATATTCAGAGTGGCCACTGTAATTCATTAAAGAGAAGCACTGCTTATTCCACCTGAAATTGCTCTTTAAAAATTCTGCTTTTCAGTGCTGTGCTGACACGAAGACAACTTAGCAATAAAAGCACACTCTGACTAAACAACCACTTATAGATTGGTCTCTTCTGTTGGCTTTGAAAGACGAGGTATAATCATATGAAAAGTTTTAATCCAGTTGAAGTAATATCAATGAAAAAAAGAATAAATTAACTACAACATCTTGTTTGTTTGTTTGCAGGATTACACAAAACCTACTCGCCCAGTTTTCATGAAACCTGGTGGAAGAGTGTAGCCTGGGCCAAGGAAGAACTGGATTTATGGGGTGGATCCACAAACAATTTCTTCCAGTTGTTACAATATTTTGTATGGCAAAATAAATCGAATTCACTGCGCATGCGTGACCCATTGTAATTAAAGTGAATGGTATGCCATTACAAAGCATAAAAGCCAGAAACAAATGCGGCAGGAATGTAAGAAACAAGCAGTCAGGGATGTGATATTTTCCAGATTAACAAGGAATTTTCCAACCTGCACAATCAATGACACAAACAATGTTATAATGAATGTGAATGGTGTGCAGATTTACGTATAAAACTGGGCTATTGGTCTTGGTGGAGGTCTGCGCTCTCCAAGTGCCTTTATAGTTTGACATTTGTATCTGTGCCACAGTATAGGAGTCTTTTTTATAATCATTCTGGGTGATTTATTTCCCTTTAAATAATATTACAATTTGTGAAAGAAAGAGGGTAAGCCAACCAAGCTAAAATCTGGAGGTCTACTTGCTTTTGGAACCCAGCCGTTGTGCATTCACTAGTCTATGTTCAATAGAAGAGTAAAAAAGACATTTCAATGAAAAGTGGATGTGAAAACAAAATTGTATCCACTTTGTCACATGCACACAGGTGCACACACACACACCTAGACACACACACACACACACACACACACAGACACACACACTGACCATCTGTCACCAGTGAGTGGACAGAGGTTGGGTGGTCCAGGAGACGTTCACTGTCCCATCTCAGGTTCCGAGAAAAGGATTCTGTTCCAGGTGGCCGGTCCTGCGGAAAAAAGGGAACTAAGTGTGTGTGTGTGTGTGTGTGTGTGTGTGTGTGTGTGTGTGTGTGTGTGTGTGTGATCCACAGACTCCTTGCAAGCTTTCCTTCTAATGTACTGTAATAGATGGAGAGGCATCATATGACGAGCCAAGGAAGCCCTTAAATTACTCTGAGAGCACTCACACCAATAACTGGCATGAGAGTGATATCATGTTGTGTTTAGAGAGAAGCTTTAGTGTACTGCAGTGCCGGCGGTGCATTCCTCTTGTGTAGCATATTTGGTAAACAACAAGTTCAGCAAAGCAGCATCATTATGTGCAATAAAGGTTTGGGCTGGTGAGCCGGTGCAGATATCCTTAACTTTGTTGTGCAGCTGCTCCGTTGTGGGGATGAAACGACTGGACTGGGCTTCATTTTGCACGGTGCCAGAGTGAACCCAGCACAGGCCAGATGGCATCAAACCCACTTCTTCCCATAGGACTCCCTCATCTGCGCTTTATTGATCTGATCCGTCTATCCCCTTTTCCCTCTTTTTTACTGTACACCCTCCCCTTCATCCTCTGCTCACTAGCCGCCTCATCTCATGGCCAGAATCCTAGAAATGTTTTGCCACAAAACCTTTGTTCAACATTAGAATCTGATTGATGGATATGGAGAAAAATCCTCCATCCGTTTATTTTCTTTACCCATTCTTCCTGTTCAGAGTCACAAGGTTGCATATTGCTAATTTAATGAGATGTTTTACCTTTTCATGAACATTTAACCAGGTCCAGAAACACACCGAAAAGGAATTGGGCATACAAATGTAATGTTATAAGGTTTACAGGTTTACTTCACTAAAAGTAATAATTTCTTTATGTTTCTATTAGCATGAGCTTTACTTGCTCAAAAACTGGATGAATGGATGAATGAATGAATGAATGAATGAATGAATGCATAAATGTGTCTCCCCTGTTGAAGAACTTGTGACATGGCCTTTCAGCTGTGACCTGACCTGAACCCAGAGACAACACAAGCTCTACAATGTCGATCAGTGTTGTGCTCACTTGTGTTCACCCTGAACAAGAGCTAGCTCAAAGTTCACTTCACGCAGATTAAAACTACTTCATTTTTTTTTGTTTTGAGCTCAAGACAGGTTGGATGTTTCAACTCAATGTGTCGTTTCAAATTTGTTGCCACTGTGGTTAACGTTCAGACTTGTTTTTTTAGACCGAGCAGGCCCAATTTGCATAAAACTCCTTCAAGTAGTCATAAGCACTGGCTTCAGCAGTACCAAAGCTGCATCTGAACTGCTGTTTGGGAATTAGCTGCTGCAAACAGATACGTTCAGTTCACTGGTCACCAAAAATATGAGCATGTTCAATGAACTTGAAAATGATCTTTTAGCATGTTTAAGGTGTGTGTGCCTGTGTTGATATTCTCTGTGCATATACACTCATTTCTGCACTTCCATTTAGTGTGACATCCACACATTTGTGTAAAACCTGTTTGCTTGTCCCTCGCTGGATCAATAATAAAAGCATTGATTTCAAAGTTTTTTGTTTCTCTGTTGATGTACTGATATTCAGCAGACACTGAAGGGACTTTTTTGGGAGGGGGTGGGGGTGGGAGGGAGGGGCGGTTGAACAGGCCTTTGTATTGATCAGATCTGGGCATACACAGTTCAGTTTAACACACGAGGGTACAAATGAGCCTCAGGCTGTTGACTGTCAATGCAGCCCATTATGCATTCAGAGACACACAGATGTGGCTGATATGAAGCAAGTACATGCATTCACAGGCACAATGTTAACCTGCTGAATTCAGACACAGAATAGGTACATGATCTATTATGTTGTACTGTAAAGGTTAAGCCAGTGAAACTATGGTTCTATCTGGTGGATTCAAATGTAACATGTTGTTGTTACATGTAATGGTAATGTAATTCTGCTTCTGCTCAAAAATGTAGCTTTTCTTGTTTCAGGATGATGTCAGAGTTTATGTCCAGGTGACCAAATTGTCTTCAGTGAAGTCAGTAAAAATGGTTTGCTGGTTTTGAAGTGGATGTTGGTTTAACTGGAAAGTTAGTAGGATGTAGGCAAGGAAATAAAAAAGGAAGATGAAACAAACACCAAAGGATTACATTACATCCTCACATCTTTCAAAGATTAGTTGTCATGATGCATCTCATAAGCAATAATTAAAGGGATCACCTACAAATAAATAAATCAATAACATGTTTGTCTTTGAATTCATTCATTTTATTAGACTAAATTCAAATTATTTGTGAAGTGATATGATGTCAATAGAATTTTTATCCTTTTAGAATATAGTTTTGTTTAAGATTAAATCAATGGGGCCTGGAAAATCACTATTGAAACTAAAGGATGTCTTACAACTAAACTAGACTAAAACAATGCTGCCCCCTGCTGAGCTGAAACCATCATCCTGCCAGAGATCACATCTGTTCAGAGATTATGTAAAGGGACACATCAAACACTGTTACAAATACTGGTCTTAAAAAGGATATCTGTATTTGCATCACATTTATGTGTATTATGTCAACTCAACGAAACAATAAAGCTCAGAGTGTATCTGTTTTTTTATAAGTATATGCAGATTTTCAAATCTGTGGGGTCTCAGTTTCTAATGACCTCTAATTTCTAATAAGGCGTAATTTACAGGGCGTTGCCATTAATAGTTAATAAATAATTGACTCATGCTTTGTGTATCTGTTCAAGAGGT